CGCGAACCTGAGCCCGATCTGCAGCTCAATGGCGACGTGCTTCGCGCACGGCGCCACGCCGTGCGACCGCGCGACCCAGCTCTGCCCACCGTGCCTCTACACGGACGCAAAGGGCAAGAACCTGTGCTACGAACGCGTCACCGGCACCAAGATCTGCCCCTTCCAAGGCACGCTGGCCGACTGCTGTACGCTACCATAGCCCTCGAGTTGACATACTATGCGTCACCTCTTTGTAGCGACGACCGACGTCGTCATTCCCAAGGTCCTCAACAAGACCGCAACAGCGACGCCCGAAGCGACGACGATGGCACCGGAGGATGCGTCTGTCTGGAACGGCCTTGCGATTGCAATGACCGTCACAACGATCCTCCTGCTTCTCACGTTTCTTGTGCTCGGTGTGCTCTTTTATCGCCGCCGGTCACGCCAGCTGCAGTCCGACCACTGGCTGTACGCGACGAACGTCGATACGTCGCCTGTGCCCCACGGTGGCTACAAGGGGTCGCATGGCGGCTTCAAACCCTCGCAGTACGAGTACCGAGGCCAAACGAACGGCGACCAGTGCACGCCCGTCATGGCGGACAACGAGACGCAGCTGTCAGCCTGCGACGTCATGATGGAAGCCAAGTCGGACTGGCGAGAGAGCCGCCCTGTGATGATGGAAGCCAAGTCCGACTGGCGAGACAGTCGTCCGTCCAACATTCTGCACCACTAGCCACAAATGTATTACGCCGTCATAATTATACTAGTTTTCTGCTACACAAGCGTGAATCAGCCTACCGAGTTCGTACCCATAGCGCCTCGTGCAGGAGATTCCGCGTCAGGTGCAGTGGCAAGTCATCGAGCCGGTTACAACGCGAGTGCAAAATATCCCGCGTACGATTCAGCACCGCTTGGAGCGAGGAAGGGTTAATAATACCCTTGGAGCGAGGGCATAAGATTGTTCTTATTTCCCTTGGCTCGGAGCAAGAACAGACAGAGTGTCCCGTCGGAACTAGTGAGGCCCCGAGCACCGGCACGCGTGACGACCCGGTCGTAAACTGCAGCTATTTGGCCCGGTCGTCGCGGCTCATGTCTTGTTCGTCGCACCAAAGCACCTCGAGGCTCTCAGCAGCCTCAAGCGACTGGGCACTTGGCCATGAGCAGAGTCGGAAGCTGATCGAGTCTGTCGTTGCCGCAAGCTCCAGCGTGCCAGGTCACCATTCTATGCATCCGTAGAGCTAGGCTATTGTCTTTCCACATTGCACTTTCAGCAAAAATGCAAATAAATCGTCTAGCGATCTTTAGCGTTTCTTAGTCTGACACTACAAATGTTACGGTATGGCGCTAGCTGCACCCTCAATTTGAGCCTCGAGAAAGGCCACCTTGACCTCATGGCCGGCGACAGTTGACGCAAACAACTCGTTGTACGCGAAGACACTCGCCGCGTGGTTTGCGAGGACTCCTTCGAGCTCACCCGCCACCTGATTGAGCTCACGCTGCAGTACTCGGAGCTCCTGCGCGTGCTTTGTTGCAACTTCGGCTCCACGACGACGATCTGTGAGAAGGCGACGCTGCATCTCGTCTCGAAGATCGCTCTGGGCTATCCACGAGGCAGCCACGATCGCCGCTTGCGCCGCGACCGCCTGGTGAAGCGCCGTCTTCATCGCTGTGCATTCGTCTCGCGCTGCTTGCAGCTGAGTCACAAGGACCCGTGTTCTTTGCCCGCAGCATGCGTCCGTGTCGAGGTGTGTCTCCTCTGTACTCATCTCCTCGGTGGGTGACGCCATGGGCGAACTCGCTGGTGGTATCGGTGCTTTGCTCACAGTGCTAGAGGCCACGGGGTGCGCGGCGAGCTCATGGAGTTTGGCCCCACGCTTGGGAATGAGGGGACACTGCTTCGAGCCCCCTTGGATTGACACACCTACGACTAGATCTTTTTGGTCGAAATCGTTAGGAGACTACACGTACCCGACCTGGCGCGGGGTTTTTCGTGAGCTGCGCGTATAGCAGAACGCTGACCCACTGCCGCAGTTCTAGACCCTTCGCACGCAAGTGGGGGCCGAAGTACTGTCTCGAACCGACGCTCTGGAGCCGAGTGGCGCCGAGTTTCTCTTCTGGCTGAAAGCGCTGTCGGCGTCGATGCGGCGCGTGCAAGAACCTTCCAAAGAGCTGGGGACGTTTGAAGGATGACCGAGGTTGTCCAGTGCACACAATGCTCGGGCGACCCCAGCTCATCGAAGGAATCACCTGGGGCTTGCGATTGCTTGGCCCCGCCTGCCCGAGCAGCGCTTGCATCGGTCGTGTCTGAGAGTAACTGCAATGGCTCGGGCTCGGGCGCGGTCAGGGGTTGGCGCGTTGACGCCGACGATGTGGCTCCAAATGTGTAAAGTGGTGCCGTCGTCTGCCAGCTCATTGGTTCCGACAGCCTGCGGCCCGTGGTTCGAGGCGCTGTCATCGGCGCGACAGCCGTGACGCGGCACACAACCGCTTTGGGTGTATCTGCAGGCACACGGTAAAGCGAACGCGACTTGGCGAGAGTAACGTTGCCGGAACATGCAGCGAGGGCGATGGCCTCACGCATGACGAGTAGCTTGAGGTCTCGTTTTTGGTGGTACAAAGGGTCCCAATCTAGCATTGGGCGTGCAAAACGAGGAATGAGACCCAACTCGGGGGCCATTTTCGATGATTCGCATTTTCTCTTTGCCAAAAATCCAAATTTTAAAATGGAAAGAGCAACCTTTGTGGATGCTCCGAGAGAACTTCTTGCAACAACGAGGGTTTCTGTGAAGAAAAAATTCCACGTGGCGCTGCGACAGCAACGACCGTCGTCCACGTTTGTACGCGCGAATTCCTTCCACAGCAACCTTTGTCGCTACCTCCTCCACCCCACCACATGTCACCGACCATTCTAGGACGATATTTGCAGACCTGGATGATTTTCTTCAACTTTGAGTGTGGCTCCCTCGCCGCTGGAGAGTGAACGGAATCGTCGTCAAGAAGTGCCGCAAGGAAGCACCGATATTCTCGACTTGCTGGACTTCGTGTCCTGCCATATAGTATACGAGCTACAAGTACTGACACGGTGTTGGGTGTTGGAATGACAGTGGCTGTGAATGCGCCAACGAATCTGGCGCTCACAGACAGCGACGCTGCCCCAGCTCGCTACGTACAGTACATAGTACATGTACTGAAGAGCGACAGTACATACATAAAACCTTTATCAATTAATACATCGTAAAAATGAATGCTTATCCACACGGCTCAACTTGCTACAATTGTAGTACGGGTATACACCAAGGCCGCAGCCTCGCTACTACTAGTACTCGACAATTCTTTTATGCAATACCACACAGATTTTGTATGCGTATCCATCCAAGCGATGACTTTTTGTGCCAAATTCGCATATACTGTTTCGGGACCCTTGGTGCTGGACATCTTACTTGCCACCCAGTATTAAGCAGCGGATTTCAACCCAAGCCTGCGCTTCCATGTTCCGTCTCTGCTCAGCTCATGCAATGCGTCCGTAAAAACAATCACGCAACGTCTTAGTTCGATGTAGAGGCTGAACGGCTCTGCTGCTACCTGCTCGGGGTGGAGGGGGTCTATTGAATGCGGCATCATCTACAGTGCGCGGCTCTGGGCACGAGTGATGGCGTCGAGGAGGCTCGTGCACGGCGCTGTCATCGTTGCGTCCGACTGCGCGCGGGTCACAAACGCCAAAAGGATGCTCTTGTCGTGCGCCGAGATGGTCGATGGGCGCAGCGACAGGAGCGGCACCACTGCTCGACACACTTCGCGCTGGAGTTCCTTGAGCGTATACTCGTCGGTGCTCGTCGCTTGTAGCCAGTGCAGCATCGACGGCCAAGCGGTTTGAAATTGCACATTAATGTGCGGCCCGGCGCCGGCGCAGCTCGGATATGCGATCGCAATGTTGGCGATCGCGCCGACGGCACAGCGCACAATGTCCCGCCGAACGCTGGCGGGCACGATGGGCGCCTGCGACGAGAGCACATTCGCGCGTTCGTAGCCCGACATTTCTTGGATCTGCGCGCTGAGGAGCGCAATGAGGCCGGACGTCGCCGCCTTGTGCGCCGTCGCGAGCGTCTGCGTCGCCGCCGCCACGGCCGAGCAGCCCTCGGCGCGAATGTCCACAAAGTGGGACGTGAGCATAATGACAAACACGTCCATGCCCGACGAGGTTGGTGCGCGTGGATCCCGGGACGGCGCGACAAGCGGCGTCTCGAGAAGGACTTTCTTCTGGCCACCGCTCTGCGCACACGTGGGCGCGCTCCGGTCGATGATACGGCCAAGATCACAGTACATGTCTCGGTACAGCGTGTCCCACGCGAGGAGACTGCCGGACCGCCGCTGGCACTCGATAAGCAGCGCCTGCGTCTCGGCGCGGTAGAGCCGGATGTTAAAGTCAATGCGGTCGTACGAGACGTATTTCACGCATTTGAATTTGCACTTGTGGACTTGAAAGACCAGGTCGACGTCGTGCCGATTCAGCGTCCGCATGACCTCGGCGACTGCGTCCTTCGTGTCGACACTGTGGTGACACGAAAAGTGGTATGGATCGACGGGGTACGGCACGCTCGGGAGCTGCGGCGCGGCGGGCAGCCGCGATACGTTGACGTCGCTCATCTCGCGTGAGAACGACGACGTCCGCGACCGCAATCGCTTGCTGGTGGTGGTGCTCGAGCTTGGCGCGGCGACGAGCTCGGCGAAGACGGGGCACGCATACGTGCTGTCCATGGACGAGCTGCGGTTGCGCTCTTCGGGAACGAGCGGTGGCTTGTCCATCATCCAGTGCTGGCCTTTCCCGACGCTGTGCCAACGAAAGCCACGCCCGTTTCGGCCCCGCACGTTCCACGAACGTTCTTCATTTCACAGGCAACCTTCCCGAGGGTACCAGACAAGTTGACACCATGGTAGAGCATGGAGAACTTGACGTTGTGTATGGTGTCAAAGGCACATGTATGGCACTGAATGAGGCATTCACGCAGCACCGCTGGTCAGCGTATGTACTACGCGACGACACCTATCAGCTCTACTATGGTTCATTGTCGTAACTGATGGATCTGTCGCGGGACGTTGGGGCGCGCGTCGAGGTTTACTGGGCGAATGAAGCCGACTGGTTTCAGGGGACCATCCAAGAGTACGATGCGCAGGTCGGGTACCGCGTCCTGTACGACGACGGCGACGAGCAATGGGAAGACGCCACCAACACAGAGCGTCTCCACGTGCTGCGGGAGACGAGTTGCGCCCACGATGTCGAGGCCATGGAGCCGCCCGGCGACGACACTGAAGACGACGCCGTCGTCGGTGCCATGGAGCCGCCGCCGGACGAGTTGGGCGACGAGGACGGTGATCTCCAAGCGTCCACGGTTGACATCGCCAGCATGTTCAAAGTGGAAACCACACCCGAGGCATGGCACGAGACAATACCATTGCAAGCAGCGACAGGCTCTTCGCTGGAGCAGTGTGAGAGCAAAGCTTGGACGCGTTCGATATCTGACCCACGGCCGACGACAGTGGCCTCGCTTCCTCTTCCGAAGTCGACCCCAACACAACCAACAGGCGTCAGTGCCAGAAGCAACGTCACCGACGATACCAACGACGACGACCCGTCTGTTGATTGGACACCGGCTCCTGTCGCAACTCGACCCACTTCCAGTTGCGGCCCATCAATACCCAGCGGGTACGAGGCCCACGCCGGGGCGATCCATCTTCCGCCGACGAGCCATTTACGACCGCCAGACAAGCCACTGGCGCAGAGACGATGCGCCGGCCCTGGCATTGCCATGTTGCAAGGCCGCGTCGAGTACCTTCGCAGCGAGCTCGACACGATCTACAGCGCGTTCGTCAAGGTGTCGTTCGTCGCACCTGGTCCTGGCAACGTCATGCTGCGCTGCAAGACTGTGCTCTACACGACGTCGGTGATGCCAGCGAGCGCCCGACCGACGTGGAGCAACGCCACTTGGCGCTACGAGATCCCGAACGAGTTTGACATGAAACCATGGGCCTCACTCCGCGGCGACATCCTCATTGCGGTCTTTGATCACAGTCCACACAACAACGTTTTTGTCGGCCAGCTGCTCGTGCCGGTGGCCTCGCTCCTCGACGACGACTGCCCCGAGGGCCTCCAGACGCGCTTTGACGAAGAGTATGCGCTCACGTCGCGTCAAGGCAA